ACGGGATGCCCTTTGTGCGGGAGGAGAAAGAACGAAAGAGGACCCCCCTGTAGAGAAATCTCTGTATTTAACTATCTCTATAAATCTTTATGACATTGCATCTTGCATGATGTTATTTTGTATTTCATATGACTTGGCCTTGTGCCTCTCTATTTTCATACAACTTTGTATTAGATCCCTATATAGAAAATTGGTAGAAAACTTTGTATCAAATGTTCTAGCCCCTAAGGATAGTATAGTTAAAGTAAAAGAAACATGTGCCTTTTTGCTAGAAGTAGAATAAGATCTTCTCCCCCACTCGGTAATCAATTGCCCTATTGACTGAATGAGGTGTGAGTGAGTGAGGCTTGGAAGACACCCACCTCCAGACAGCTACAACAGTTGGAGAGGGGCTGGGAGCCAGAGCAAAGGACAATACAAGTTGGCAAGTGGGCCCAATAAAGAAGAGAAGACATATTGACGGCCTCCGGAATTAGAACTAAGCACCTGCTTTAGAAAACCCCCTCTTTGAGCAGCACTGGGACAACACCTGGAGAAAAGCAGCACAAAGACCGACGGACACAGACCCAGATTTTGAAGCTGGTCTAGATTTGCATGAGAGGAAAGCTGCTATAAAAGTGAGGTGTCTTGCAGAGGACCCCGGGTTTCATCTTGTCACCATCGGAGCATCGATCCGGATCGGCAGAAGCCCGGCTCCACCCCCTCCCCCATCTAATTCACCTGGCCAGTGAAGTTAAGGGGAGCAGCTAGTTGGTAACAACAGCAAGACGGAGTGTGTTTGTGTGTGTGTGTGTGTGGGAATGCATGCCTGTGATATAGATATCTCATGTGCATATCATAGAGTATTAATTAATACCTGTATTACTAATAAATGTGGCATTTTGCCTTAATCCCCCTGAAAAGATCCTGTATAGTACTTCGAGTACAACACCCCCACACGCGGTTTAGTCTCCAGGAGGTGCGGCTGGGGTATTGGATTAAGCTTGAGGGGGTGTGTGCCAGGACGTCTGGGAACAAACACATGCTCTCTGGGGAATTTGTGTTTAGGATCTGGCTTTATTCTGTGCATTGGCTTCTGGAAATACTCAGTGTTAAATCAGAGGGTGGAGGAGTGTCAGGACTCCTGGGTTCTCTCCCTGGTTCTGGGAAGGGAGTGGGGTCTAGTGGTTAGAGCAGGGGCGGCTGGGAGCCAGGACTCCTGGGTTCTCTCCCCAGTTCTGGGAGGGGAGTGGGGGCTGGTGAGTTAGAGCTGGGGGGGCTGGGAGCCAGGACTCCTGGGTTCTCTCTCTGGCTCTAGGAGGGGAGTGGGGGCTGGTGAGTTAGAGCTGGGAGCCCGGACTCCTGGGTTCTGTCCCCAGGCTGGAATCTCGGGGGCTGCTGTGGAATACAATAAGACTCAGCGCTGTAACACAGCACATCACAGTCTGTCCAGAGACTCCCCGCCCCCTCCTCCCACTCTGGCTGCAGTGGGCTTTGGGTTGGGCCCTGACTCCCTGGATCTTTGCAAAAGCAGTTCAGCATCGTTATCCTTTGGACACAGATGGGGAAACTGAGGCACGGGTGGGTGGAGGGAGAGGAGAGAGACCCACGGACCATGAGGGCATCATTCAGCTGCTGGATGGATCCCCCGGGGGGGAGGGGACACAGAGGGGGCGTTAAGAGAGGAATTTCACTGCCAGGAGCCCAGCCAGACTGGGCAAGATGCTGCCCAGGCCGAAGGGGCCCAGCATCCGCTGAGCGCCGCTGGGCGTGTAACACTCAGTCTGTGTTATTTTGTAGGTGAACACTCCTGAATCCAGAATCACGCCCTTCTCGATCGCGCAGGCATGTGGGGTGGCACAGCCTTTCGCTGCAAAGGGTATCGTGATGTCATCTGCACAGAGAAAGAGACGCTGATCAGACACGGGGCATCCCGGCACCGCTGAACCAACATAACCTCCCCCCGCCGCAGCCTGGAACCCCCCCAGCCATGCATCTTTAGCGCTGGAGATGCCAGTGGTGATCAGTAGACCTCAGAGTTAACACTTTGTCTAGAAATAAAGGGTGTGTATCACACCCTGCGGAGCAGCTGGCCACGTGCCATGAGGGGGACGTCTCTTGTTCTACCATCTGCTGGATCATGGGGGGCCAGCGAGAAGCCGGGAGGCAGCAGGGCTGGGCTGCGTGGGCCCCGGTGACTGCTGGGCAGCAAGGGCTGGCTAGCCTAGCTTTAGCCATGTCCGCGCTGCAGGCAGAGGCCCGGGCTCCCCCGGATGAGCTGGCAGGGCGGGGCAGGTACAGGTAGGGGGCTCTGTGTGTGGACAGAGCGGGGTTTGGGTTTAAACACGAGTCAGAGCCGTGTCCGCAGGGAGAGGGGGAAGCCGGCTGGCTTTGGAAAAGGGGACTGTGTCCTCGAACTCGCTTGCAAAGGGCGTTGGCCCCATAGGGACCCTGGGGCTGAGCCTCGCACGGAGCTGGGCTGGGGGCATAGCCAGTTAAAACGGGCACTGCCGGGGGCTGCAGGGGCACACTGGGAATCCGGGCCCCGGGCCTCCTTTTGTCCTAGTGCTGATGGGCCCGGAAGGATCCGGGACACACACTCACCTTCCGAGATCTGCCCGCTGATGGAAATGCACTGGCTGGCGCGGCCCTCGCACTGCAGGGTCTCCTTACTGGAACAGCTGCTCCGACCCGGGGCAAAGCAGATCGGGCACCGGCCTCCCGTGTAGACATTGTTGATGGTCGGCCCTGCAAGGCCCGCCAGAGAGAGAGGGTCAGCGGGGCGAGGCAGGATGAGGGGACGGGGAGTTGACGGGCTGGGTTAGGGCTTTGTCCTCATTGTTAACATTTATTTCTAGCACAGCAACAGAGATTGGGGACCCCATTGTGCTGGGTGCCACATGGCACCCCCCACTCCCTCCCCTCCCGTTGTGCCAGGCGCTGCACGGGACTCCACCTTTCTCGGAAAAAGAACCCTTGTACAAACCAGGTTGACACTAACTCGGTGCCTGTGCCCCAGGGAACAAACAGGGAGGGATGCAGAGACACAGACGTACAGACAGGAGTGAACGCGTTATTGCAGTCGTTCACAGAGCAGTTCTGGGATTGAATCTCCACATACACCCCGTTCCCGAAGAAGAGGGAGATGTTCCTGGAGAGGATGGTTGAGGGGACGCAGGAGTAGAAAGTGCCAGTATTTTTAACAGCTCCTGGTTAGAAACAAAATAGTTACGGAAATTATTTGCAAATGAAACAGCTCTCCGAGGGCGGGCGATTCCTAGGAGCCACCTCACCCCTTTTCCTGGCGTCCCAGGCCAGAAGGGCCCATTCCAGCATCTAGTCTGACCTGCCACATAGCCCAGGCTGGAGAATTTCTCCCTACACGAGGCCCGATCACGTGTGTTTGACAAAAGCATCTTCCAGGAAGGCAGCCGGCCTGGATTGGAAGATGCACACTTCCCTGGGGAGTTTGTTAATCCCCCTCTGTAGCTCAAAGCAGCACCCCAGAAACCCCATATTCACCACTGTCATCTCATTATGAAATGTTTTGTACAATGCAGCCTTGATCTGCTGAACATTAAGCTCCTGTTGGATTGTGTTTGGTAACATTGGATGGGAAGTTATGAAATATTGCGGTGTGTGTTACTGAAATACGTTGTGGGGTTGGGAACACCCACAACCAGCCTTTCAGGTGTAACAATGGAGCAGCCAGACGCGCTGATGGCCCATCGAAGGGAATCCACACTCCCAATGGCTGTCCCAGAGACTTCTCAGAGAGAGCACAGACATTGGAGACGGCTTGACCAACGGGCCTGCCTGATCCCCACGTAGCAGCAAAGATCTTATAATAATAATATATGGAGATATCCTACCTCCTAAAACTGGAAGGGACCCTGAAGGGTCATTGAGTCCAGCCTGCTGCTTTCACTAGCAGGACCAAGTACTGATTTTGCCCCATACCCCTAAGTGGCCCCCTCAAGGATTGAACTCACAACCCTGGGTGTAGCAGGACAATGCTCAAACCACTGAGCTATCTCTCCGCCCTTCCCAGCAGCTGGAAGAAACTATAAAAGAGGGGAAGTGACATCACCATTTGGCCTCTCCCCCATACCCCCAACTCAACACCTGGAAGAACATCTGGAAGACAAAGACTTGGAACTGGAGTTTGGTCCCAGGCTGGCAAAGGGTCCAGTCTGTGTGTGGAGGATCTGTAACCTGCTTGTACCATCTGTCAGGATGAGACATTGCTTGATTCACATCCTGCTTAGACTGAAAGTTTAGGATTTAGACTGCGTGTTAATTTTTTATTTCTTAAGGTAACTAGCTCTGACCTTTATGCCGACCACTTATAATCACTTAAAATCTATCGTTCTGTAGTTAATAAACCTGTTCTATATTTTACCTAAAACAGTGTGTTTTGGTTGATGGGTTTGGGAAATCTCAGCTCGGTTTACAAAGGCTGGTGCGTGTCCTCTCCACGACGAGGGAGGGGCGAACTATTTAATGAACTTGAACAACAAGGAGTCCGGTGGCACCTTAAAGACGAACAGCTTTATTTGGGCATAAGCTTTTGTGGGTAAAAAACCCACTTCTTCAGATGCAACATTCTTCAGATGTTTTTGTGGATACAGACTAACATGGCTACCCCTCTATTCCTGTAACACAGTTGGGTGTGTCCCTGCTGTACAGGGAGATTTCGGAAAACCAGTAAAGTGCCTGAAACCACTGTAACTTCTTGCTAAAAGCAGCCAAGTCTGTAGGCCATAAAGTGGGCATGCAGAAGGCTTAGCTTAAGCAAGGCAGGAGGGGAGGGGGTTTTGGGTGCAACAGAAAGGGCAGCTTGACTCCACATCTTTCCTGATAAGAATTGTGTTGAAAGTGCTGATCCATGCGTTTTAGGGGTCTTAAGGCTGCAAACTCTGAAAAAAAACCCCACACCTGGTTAATCGATGACCAGAAGGAAACCTCTAGCTCGACCTTTGAAACTGCTTGCTAAGCAAGGTTTCTTTCAGTGACATGTCATGGTATCACTAATGTATAAATACAGGGGAGTCGCATCTTACACGGGGGCTAGGTTCTGAAGTCAGCGCATAGGGCGAAAATCACATATAGTCGAACGCTCATTGCGTGGAATGGCGGGCAGAATCGCCCGCACTACAGGTACAGTATTTAAATGGTTATTTTTCTCTTTTTTGTTTTGTTTTGCCGAGCGCGTATAGTTAAAATTGCGTAAGTTAAATGCGCCTATGATGCGACTCTACTGTAAGGGGAAAACGTTTGAGCTAGTTGGACTGGACTCTCCCTCTGGATACATCTTGCGGTCCCGAGCGGCAGACGGAAGATTTGGCCACCGGAAGGGCTGTGCCACTCGAGACCCACACTCAGCTTTGGTAATTATCGAGGGTTGGGGGTGTTTTACTAACCTGTTGCGGACGTGTGTAACTGCTTGAGACTAAGAAAAGTTTAGCTTTATGTGAAATCACTCTTGTGTTGCCCTGTTTGTGCCGGCATCTATCAGTCGGACGGCCGTGTCTCCCCTGATTTATTTCCTGACATCACCTCGCACAGAGTAAAAGTTACCGAGAGCTTTGGGTTGAAGGAACCCTGGGTAACACCTGCTGTGGATGGCTGTGTGAGTGCAGGATCTGGAGGGGTTTGCAGCTTGACATCAGCATCACAGTGCGAGAGGGAGCCCAGGCTGGGGGGTTTGAAGGGCTCAGAGGTGCCACAGTCCAGGTTGCACCCCAGGCTGCACACCCATCACACCCTCCCTGTTAGAAACTGGAGCTTTATTTCTAACTGGAACATGTCTGGCTTCCACGCCCAGCCGTTCTGATGAAAAAATATTTCCATTAGTAAGAATCAAAATTCGCAGGGAGGCAAAGTAAGAAAAATGCTGCTTGAAAACTTGGTCGAGTTTGAGTTAAGGACATTCGCTGGGTTGATCTGGACCCACAATGTTGACAGTTTATGTTTCAACGGTGATAACTAGGGCCCTGCCAAATTCATGGCCATGAAAAACATGTCACAGACCGTGAAATCTGGTCTTTTGTGTGCTTTCACCCTATACGATATAGATTTCACCGGAGAGACCAGCATTTCTCAGACTGAGGGGCCTGACCCAAAAGGGAGTTGTAGGGGGGTCACAGGGTTATTTTAGGGAGGGTCACAGTATTGCCACGCTTACTTCTTTGCTGCTGCCGCCGGCGGCTCTGCCTTCAGAGCTGGGCTCCCAGCCAGCAGATGCCGCTCTCCAGCTGACCAGCTCTGAAGGCATCTACTGTCATAATTGTCTCACTACTCCCCGCCACACACACACACACACACACACACACACACACACACACACACACACACACACACACACACACACACACACACACACACACACACGA